TCTTTCTTTCTTTCTTTCTTTCTTTCTTTCTTTCTTTCTTTCTTTCTTTCTTTTTTTCCCAAAGATAGGATCTCAGTGTGTATCCTGAGCTGGTCTTTAACTGTGTGGTCCTCCTGCCTTAGACTTCTGAGTGCTGGGATAAGAGGCATGTACCCTCATGCCTTGCTTCTGAGTTTCCTTTCTGATGCTGTTCTCCATGTCCCTTGCACACTTCTGTCTTAGGGTCTGCCCCTTGAATAACGATGCACTGAGCTTCATGACCAATTCACTCCTCTTTGTTCTGCACTTGCTGCTGAGGTAACCTCATGTGGTGTTCTGGTCTCACCTGCCCCTGCTCTGTCCACCCTTCTTTTCCTCTGCCTGCTGAGCATGTTTTGGCATGGCTTTCTGAGACTGTCACACCATGTATTTGACACTGACTTCCCTGTGTGCTATCCACCCCATCTTGTACTTGCTGACGAGCTGAGGGCTCCTCAGTTCACCAGGTCAGTCAGGTTGGAAACCTGGGGTAACTGAAGCTCGGAAGTCCTGACCGAGGATGCCGGGTCACTCCCAAGGATGCCGGGTCACTCCTCTCCAGGAAGCCCTGGCCTGTCCCAGCAGTTGGATAGCTGTCTGTCTCTTTCAGGCTCTCATACATCCTCACCTCAGACTATCATTGCAGCAGCCCTGTGTTCTCAAGTTCACCTTCCGTGTGGCTGCCAGAGAGCCCTCACTGATTCAGATAAGGACATTGATTGCCAGCGGTCGCTGAGAGTGCCCGTCCTCCCTGAAAGTAGACCAAAGACTTTGTTAAGAGGTCCCTTCTTGCAAGATGTGTTCATTACTACTGGTTGTCACCTTGCAAGGACCTAGAATCACATGAGACACATCTCTGGGCACATGTATGAGGGAATTTTTAGATTCAGGTAATTGAGGTGGAAGACCCACAACTGTAGTTAAATTTTAGAAGAACCACTGTACCTGGCATTTACTCTGGAGGGATAGCTACTTAAGCCTTGTGGAAATCTCTTAGAAATTATCAATGACTGTCATCTGAAATTTATGGGCTTGCTCTTTCTTGGGAATTTCAGAACCTTAACATAACCTCGGTCATAAGACATTCCTGGCAAACCTGGAATTCTTATAATGACTGTGTTTGCTTAGATAATGGCTCCGTAAGACAACTGCTCGATCTGATAAGAAATTGGTATTCAGGAATTGACTTACCAAAGGCCCCTTTGAAGCTGCTAGGTGGTCAGTCCATCAGAGCAGCTCCACTTGCTGCTAGGAAGCCTTAATACAGCCCACAGTGTCTGCCTCTGTCTTCGGTCAAATGGGCAGCAGCATTCCTTAGGTTGAAGTCCTGGACTGAATAGAAAGGAGAAAGTGAGAAATGGACTGAGCGGCTGTGTTTACCCTCTGTGTCCTGAGGTTGCTGGTGATGGATTACCTCCAGTTTCTCTGCCTTGCTTTTCTTGCCATGACAGTCTGTACCCTCGGGTACTTCATCACAGCAACAAGAAAAGTAGCTAATACACTGATGACACAAGATCTCGCTACAGAGCTGAGGCTAGCCTAACTTCCTATATAGCCCAGGCTGGCCTCAAATTTGTCATCCCCCTGCTTCACCTTCTTTTTTTGTTTGTTTGTTTGTTTTTTTGTTTTTTGTTTTTGTTTTTTTGAGACAGGGTTTCTCTGTGTAGTCCTGGCTGCCTGGAACTCACTCTGTAGACCAGGCTGGCTTCGAACTCAGAAATCCACCTGCCTCTGCCTCCCAAGTGCTGAGGTTAAAGGCGTGCTCCACCACCGCCCGGCCTGCTTCACCTTCTTTAGTGCTAGGATTGCCACTTTGTCTGGCTAACTGGGGCTTCTGACCCTTCCCCTAAGACCTACTTCCACATGTGCCGTCTGTTGTCTGGAAAGCATATTCTCTCCGTGTCAAGCACATCTTTTTTTTTTTTTTTTTTTTTTTTTTTTTTTTTTTTTTTTTGGTTTTTTTGAGACAGGGTTTCTCTGTGTAGCCCTGGCTGTCCTGGAACTCACTCTGTAGACCAGGCTGGCCTCGAACTCAGAAATCCGCCTGCCTCTGGCTCCCAAGTGCTGGGATTAAAGGCGTGCGCCACCACCACCCGGCTTTGTCAAGCACATCTTAAGCTCAGTCAGGACAGAAGTTGTCAGGGATAGAAATGGATAAAACTGCAGTCGCTTGAAAATGGATCTAATACATTGCTTCCCGTGCAAAAGGAAATCTATGAGCCAATATTTACAAAATAAAAGGAGAAATCAACAGCGTGATGGGAAAGGAATTGAACTCTGGCTTAAGAAATGAGAGAAGCTTGCAAAGAGAGAGGGGCCAGGAGGCAAAAGGAAAGACACCACTGGACAAAATTTACTATGGAATGTTGCTGCAGTTCACCAGCAGGTGGCAGACCAGGGAAAAAAGTCTCTTATTCTCACAAACCTTAAGGTGTAGACAGTAAAACATAGAAAGGAGGACACCAAAGTCACCAGTAATTCCATTGCTCAGTTATAGCTAGTCTGAAAATAAATATCTTATTATTGTTGTATGTATGAAGTGTGTGCATACCGACGCTCATGAGTGGAGGTCATACAAGAACTTTGAGGAGCCATGTTTTGCCCTTCCATGGTGGGATGCTGGGAATCTGGCTTAGATCCTCAGCCGTGCATAGTGTTTAGCTGTGAGAAATACCATGACCAAAG